AAGGAGGTTCGAATTATTATAAATTCTGAAAAGAAGCGCACAGTTATCCCAAATTGAAGAGCTTGAAAGGACGGGAGTCCCAAACCACCATGATGTTTCGGTTTACAGGTATTCTTCCACGAAATCATATGCAATTTCTTAAGGGTCGTGTCACCAAAATAAAGAAACTTGGCACAAAGTTTATCAATTTGTTATAAAATAGATTTGCGTATAATTGAACCTCTAATCCAATAAGCAATGGTGTTCCATATGGTAAAGCGAAGATATTGTAACCGTTCAGCAAAGGATAGAATTTTAGCCTTCCATCCAGATAGTTTGTGATTAGGGGTGTCAATATTTGACCCGACCCGAAAACCCGACCCGGAAAATCCGGGTTGGACCCGACCCGTTTGATAAACGGGTCGGGTTCGGGTTCTCTAATTCGACCCGTTTGATAAACGGGTCGGGTTCGGGTTCTCTAATTCGACCCGTTTGATAAACGGGTCGGGTTCGGGTTCTCTAATTCGACCCGTTTGATAAACGGGTCGGGTTCGGGTTCTCTAATTCGACCCGTTTGATAAACGGGTCGGGTTCGTTCGACCCGAACCCGACGGGTTGACCCGAATTGACACCCCTATTTGTGACAAATAACTTCCATCAACTCAGAAAAATCCGCCAACTTTAAATTGTAAGGGGATATAGGAATACCCAAGTATTTGATGCATTGGAATGAATATATATTTTTAAAGAAGAACAAATGGCATAAGCATTGGGACAGTTAGGAGGAAACCAAACATCATTAATGCAAGCTTCAACTCAGTTAATAAATAAACTTGGAATACCTTTTTGCAAGAGCCTAGCCAAAATGAAATCCCTAGAAACACTATCAAAAGCCTTTTTTATATCCAGTTTGGCACACATAGGTCTGAAATTGGAAGTGGTTCTAGAGTGAAATAATAATTCTTTTGCAAGAATTATATTGTCAGTGGGTATTCTCTTGTGAATGAGGACAGTTTGATTCCCTTTGATGATGATAGGCATGATGGGTTTGAGACGGGCAGCTAAAATTTTGGCAATGACTTTGTAGATTGCATTGCAGAGAGAGATTGGTCTGAAATCAGCTAAAGAAGAAGCATAATTGTTTTTGGGGATGAGAGTGATAGCAGTGTTCTTAACCACTTTAGGCAAATAGCCACTATGAAAGAAGGATTTGACAGCTTTACACACAGAGAAGCTAGTTAAGAGCTAGGTGCTCTTATAAAAATCAAAATTGAAGCCATCAGGTCCAGGAGAGGAACATGAGGCTCTCGAGAAAATGGCCATTTTAATTTCTTGGTTGGTAATGGGCTTGATGAGATTGTCAGCCAAATCATTAGGAATTGTGCTACCCGCTGGAAAAATCCTGATATCCCCAAGATGATGAGCTTGCGGATTATAAAGGTTTTGAAAGTGGTTAATAGTAGCTTTCACAACATCATTATAGGAGGAAGAAGCCGTTAACATGGTCAGAAAAAGTGCCAATTTTTTATAATGTTTTATGGTGTGAATTTTAGAGAAAAAAAACTTTAAGTCATCCTCCCCATGAGACATCCACTTCATTTTAGCCCTTTGCATGACCCAAGAGGTCCAATTGGCGTTGGCATGAACAAGCTGATTGCTAACATTTTTTAGTGCAAGGGAAATTTCTGGATTGTTATAATCCAGACTCAAAATATTGAGGAAATGTTCTTGCTTTTGTTGTAAATCCTCCAAATGTTTGCTCCAATGATTGGAATTGGCCCAATTTTTTCCTCTAATGGAGAGCTTCAAAAGTTTGAGCTTGTTACAAAAATCAACCAGAGGATGTCCAAGAGGTTTAGCAACGAAAATGGGAAAAAGAGTAGACCATAAATGGTCAGATTTTGCCCAATAATTCTTGTAGAGGAATCTGTGAGGGGAAGAGGTTCTCTCCCCAGGACGTAGAACAATAGAGCAATGATCGGAGCAGGAATGGCTCATGACAACATAGTGGGAGTTAGGGAAGGATGCTAACCAATCATCATTAACCAGCATCCTATCAAGCTTTATGTGGATAGGGGTATCCAATCTCTGATTATACCATGTGTAGGGGTTACCCATAGAAGCTAGGTCTTTAAGCTTCATATTGAAAATAGAGGCATTGAAATCATGAAGTTGACTTTGATGCAAAAAATTTCCTCCAAGCTTGTCAGACGGGTATCTATAACAGTTAAAATCCCCCATTAATATCCAAGGGGAGTCATCCGATGGAGCAACAACACTAAAATCCTCCCAAAGCTTTTTCCTGTCTTGATGATCATTGGAGGCATAAATAACAAATAAGGTAAACGGTCTAGCAAGCCCAAAGTTAACCAACCCAGAGATCATCTGGGAAGAGATGAAAGATGGTTTGAAGGAGATCCTATCACTGACCCATTTAATCCAGATTCTTCCAGAAGACGAGCAATGAAAATTGTTGATGCTAGCTTCCTTATCAAAGATCAAGTGATTGTTAAGAAAAAAAGGATCAGCCAAAGCTGAAATGTTGATACGATTTTCAAGGATACATAAAATGTCAAGCCCAGAAGACTAAGTCAAACGCTTGCAGCAGAAAACTTTATCAGAGGTGGAAAAGCCTCTAATATTCCAGGCTGCAATGGAGGGACAGATCATTTGTTCTTTGAGTTTGGGGGCTTCTTAGCTTTCCCCCTAGCAGATTTCGTTTGAATGGTTGCCTTGTCATTGTGTGATGATTTGTCATGAAGCTCCTCTTTGGAGAGAGAAGAAGTTTCGGTAGATAGTGTGTCTGGTTCAATGTTGTAAGATTGTAGAACATCAAATCTATTTTTTGAAGTCCGGCATGAGGATGTCTTATTGTTGGAAGTTTTTGGAGGCATCTCCAATTGCTACTCTGAGGATAAGTCAGTTGTAGAGTTCAGATTAGGAATGGAGATGTTGTTCTGAACTTCGGGTGTAGGTTTAAGGATAAGATCGGTGGAGGTGATGGGAGGAGTGGGTGAGGAGCTATGAAGGGGAATGGTGGAAGTAGCATTGCCGGGGTTGAGGATAGGGGCATTAAGGATGACTTGTGGAGGAGTGAAGGATGTGGAGGGGATGCCAGATTTGGAGATTGGGCTCTGTGTTGGTTGGGATTGGGGCTGATTGATTGGAGGAATTTTTTGAGGTGATTTCAAGGTTGGGAGAGAGGGGGGTTGAGTGGAACTTGGTCCTGGTTGGGCTTTTGGGTTAGTTGGTCGAGAGTTGGTTTTGTTCCTAGGTGGACGAGAATAGCTGCGACCTCTATGAGGAGGCACAATGGGAAGGTTAGGATTGGGATTTGAAGGGCAGGCTCTAGAGGAATGGGCAATGGAGTTACAGTGAGTACACAACTCCGATTTCCATTCATACTGCGCTTTGAGATGAATCACAATTTCATCTAAAGAGATAGGGATGGATTCCAGAAATTTAGTGGAGGAAACATGAATGCATATTCGGGCATAAGTTAACCGGGTTTTTGCTGCAGTTAAAGCATCAACTGCAATCGGGATTCCAATTTTTGATGCGATACGTGAAATTCCATCGGAGTTCCAGCAGACCAGAGGAAGGTCTAAAATCTTAACCCATATCGAAACAGAATCGAAATTCTCTCGAGTCGGCTGAAAATGGGGAGTCCATTTTTTAAAAATAAAAGGTTTTCCTAAGAAATACCAAGCCCCTTTTGACCAAACCATGTTGAAATCTTCCAAAACCGTGAATTTAAATAAGAAAAAACCGTCACTTAGGGCAATGAGCTGAAAATTACCTTTCAGATTCCAGACTCTTTTGACTGTCGAGAGCAGAGATTCATAGTAAGGGCGCTTACCAAGCGAATACCCAACCAAACAGAGTTCCCACTCGGGAGAAACAGCAGCAATCTTCTCTTTATCGAAGGGGATGATTTCCTCTGGAGTGTCCAGGAAAGAAATCAGAAGGGAGGAAGTTGGAGTTTCAGTGTCCGCCATGATATTTAGACCATAACCTGTTCAGGGTCGTGGGGACAGAGGGGGTGGTAGATGAAGGGAGGGGTGGGAAGTTGAGAGGGGAAAGGGAGGGGTCCATAATGGTGGAAGAACCTGGCCGACGCCAGACCAAGGAGATGGAGGTCCACGGAAAATCGCAAGGCGGCTAGGGCAAACTCTTCGCGCATTGATCTCTACAAATATTATAGCACCGATCCCGACGCTTATTCTGTATAGTTGTTATTATAAGTGTCACGAAACTACACTTTGACTTTTTATTTAGGAGGTTTTGAGTTCTATAAGAGAAGCTACACCCAAACCTTAGAAAAAAAAATTGCAAAATACATATGTTACAATCACATGAACAAAATGATCAGAATTCCACCAAGTACAAGTGGAAAATTATCTTTAGGCGAGTGACTATGGCTCACCTTGGCCTGTTGGTTGAGAGCTTAGGCTTTCAACTAAGAGGTCTTGGGTCCGAGTCTTTGTGTATGCGTTGTGTGTATGAGTTTGCCTTAAATGGCCTAAATGTCCAAAAAAAAAACTATGAGTACTGATTAAGTCAACAAAGCAACTAGCTCTGAGTAGGCATATGCTAGTTTCAGATATTGACTAGGCAAGTACTCCAAATAGGATCAGTGACTTTTAGGGTCAGTAATCCCCTTAGGTTGTAGCACGTAACTCTACAGATGAGTCAAGCAATCAACTTAGGCTTCATTTGGGACGGCATTCTTATAACTTCTTAAAGCAGCTTCCTAGTATAAAAATTATAATTTTTGTATTAAAAAGCTACTTTAAGAAACAGTAAGAAAGTCGTTCCAAACGATGCCTTAGTGGCTCCAACTCAGATAATATAGCATTATACAAAAATAAATAATCATGAGAAAGAATTTTCTTAGTTGATGTAGAGTATTGTTTTACTTATAAGAGTCAAAAGATGTCTTGGATCTTTCATTAGAGAGAGAGTTGAGCAAAAGAAACAAATCACCTCTTAAAGTAAGACTAATTACTTTCCTGCACTAGAGAGAATTGCATCAAATAAGTTTTGCATTGTTCTCCTAAATGAACCAACGGTGCATCTAATTGTGAGTAAGCTTTTATCCGCTAGCAGAGTTTTTTTTTTTTTTTTAATAAAACTCGCAAAGGGGTAACTCGATAACTATAAGAAAATTACAAACTTTAAAGAACAACCAGCTCTCTAAAAGAACAAACTTTGAAAAAATACTACGAGCTGACGTTCTACCTATTACAAGAGAAACAAAAGAAAATAAGGCAACAAAACAAAACTATCAGAGCACCAAGAAAAACCAAAATCTCACAGCCACACGAGCCACCCAAAGCACCACCAGAAGAGACCCAAGGGTCCAAGCAACAACTGAGACGACAAAAACACGATTCAAAACAAATGTTACCACCCAAAAGACTCAGTATGGCAATCCTGTACCGGCTGAGTAGCGAAGAAATAACCATCCATTAACAGTTGTAAGCCACACAACAACCAACCGAAGTATGAGAAAATTATAAGCTAGCAGAGTTAGAGGTTATATCTCTTTAGGTTTAGGGTAAAAGATTTATGGTGGCGTCAAAGATTCCCATTGATAGTTTTTTTAGTAGAGTTTTCACTAAATGCATTAGGCATGGCTTCAGTGAGATAGCTTGGAAACAATAAGGAAGAGTAGACTGCAGAGGCTGTCAAAGAGATGCCCTTATTATTGGGCAAACATTTAGGTCAAGAGTTAGTTCCCTTACGCTCCCACACACGAGCATGCTCAAAGAGCAAATGACACCGCCAATCTAACTGTTCCCGATTTTCCCAACCTTACTCGCTAGCATATTGGAGGGTCTAAGCACTAGATCATCGAGTTGAAGGTTTTGTTTCGGACGGCTTTCTTACTGCTTCTTAAAACAGTTTTTTACTTAAAAATTTTTAATTCTTATATAAAAAAAATTACTTTCAAAAACAGTAAAAAATCCATCCCAAACGAAGTCAAAGTCTTCCCTAGTCGCTGTGTGAGATCTTGTTCGACTGAGGAGAATAAGAAACTCATCTCCTTGGAGGAGAAGGCCTGTTCCTCTACTATTCTCAATTACTATAATATGAAACTATAACAAGGGGTTACACTCAGAAAAAAGTGTGAACTATAATAAAACCTTCTCTTCCATAGTAAAAATGTATAAATAAGAATATTGAAGAATCTAATTTAGTGTGGGTTTCGAAAATATTATAAGTTAGAACTAAAATTAGTTTTTTAATTCATGTGGATGATATATTTTTGGCCTGCAAAGACAGATAATAAACAAAGGTCAAATAAGTTTTGAAGTCTAAATTTGATATGAAGGATCTTGGTGGTATTAAAAGGATTCTTAGAACGCAGATTCAGAGGGACATAAAATCAAGAATTAAAATATGAAATCACTTGTATTTGTTATCAATAAAGAGATTAAGGCTTTGTTTGAGACGGCAAAACTTATAATTTTTGTACTAGAAAACTACTTTAAGAAGCAAGAATAAACCATTCCAAACGAAACTTAAGACTAAGGTTTCCCCATGGACATTAAGTTCTTCGAATTTGAGCTAAATATATCTTGCAAGTTCTTCTCGATTGATTCTTGTAGCTATATTGGGTTGGAATATTTACAGTAACTATTTCTCAAGGGTTTAGCAATTAACAGTGGCCATTATCATTAGCTAAGTGTTAAAAAAGTATTTCAATCAAAATTTTATTGCTGTTTGTTTACTGTTAAACTGTGGATGTTATTCCGTTGTTAAGGGTTCAAATTTTGGTTAAGAGTAATTATATATGTTATTTAACTAAAAAAATTACTTATTCAATTTATATATGCAACAGCTCTTTTTTGTTCTGTGTAAGAAATTTTGTTATCATTGTTGTTCAAGCAGAAAAAGTAGATTCTTATCAATTTACCGGGTAATGACTTGACTGAGGGCCTCAAGTTGTCAGTTCTGCTGGCTATTGAGATCAAACTTGGAGATGTGCAGTAAACTTTTAGGATAAATGCAGAAGATGATCGTCAACTTTCAAAAGCTGGTATGAGTTATTGCTGCAGCTTTGATTTTCCTGAACAGATGAGCCTGCAGAAATCATGATAGGAAGCATGAATGGAAGTTCGTCAAGGGAAGAAATTACCTTATGCAAATTCATATACAGCGTTAAGCATTCCAATAAATAACTCGTCTGAACTTGAAAGTTCTTTAGAATAATGAAATTAAGCATAAGGATGTCAATTTAACTTATAGAAGCTTGGTAATCAAACCAATTACTGCAACATGCAGACCCTGCATAATGGCTAGCTTAAATTGAAATTGAACAGGGCTGCCAATCAAATTGGACTGGCTTAAAATCAAAGTAGAGTGCTTTTAAGTGTATGAAAGCATGTATTAAACCTTTAGCTAATCCTGGATCTACTTAAGATTGGACTGAAGAGCATAGAGACAATCTTAATTAGGATTGGATCATGGATAGATTTCAGAAAGTACTTAAACCAACCCAAAAAAGAAAGGACTGGTAAAGCAACTTTATAAGAACCGAGCTACTAATCCAAACTGAAATTATAACAAAAGCTGTGAATAAAAAGAAAATATATAATCTAAATGACAAACACTAAAGAAAAAGAAACTAGAATCATAATATAACGTATTTTTTTAAGAAGTTTAAATCTGCCACATCTAAAGAAACAAACAATTAGATTGTGAGTTGTGTGAAATCTGATTGTCTTGATCAATCGGTTTGTACTAATGTCTCGGATCTAAATTCAATGTATTGTATGTTGACCTACACATCAATTACGCGCGTAAATGAATGAAATCGGCGACAAAAAAGATGCACGCATCAGTGAGGCGCGTCACTTGAAGGGGTAAATGACATCCAATCATCGAACGGATTGTGCGGTTGCGATCAGACCGTCGAATACCCCTAAGGGCATCTCCAACCGAAAAACTCATTTTTCACTCCAAAATGCAGTAACTTGACTCCAATCGAACTTCATTTTCTAACATAAAAAAAAGAATATTCCTAGCATATTCTTTTTCTTATTTTATTTTAAATTTTTTTAATCAAATGTTTATATTTATCAATTTTAAACCTATTATAATTTTAAAAATTATGTTTCTTTTCTCGATATAAAAAAATTGGGATATTAATATGTTCTAAATAAGCAAATATATATTTGATACAATTAAAATTACATTAGAACACAGGGGTGAGGTCGGACGGTGGCAGAGGTAAGAACTTCAATCCCTCTCTCTCTCTGTACGGGATCGGGATCAAGCCCTCACAGCCGGCGGAGCTCCTGTTACTTTCGATCAAATGTTGCACTTCCAATCTCGACAGGAAGGGGAAGTCGGCGCTGGAGCAAAGTCGATTGGCAGGGAAGGGGCGGAAGAAGTAACGCAAGAGGGAGAAAGTTACTTCGAAGCCAGCGAACTCCCGCTCCTGCCTCCGATCAAATTGTCGTTCCTTCCGATCCGACGGGAAGGGAAAGCCGGAGATAGAGAGAAAGATCGAGAGCGAGAGAGATTGCTATTCGCGTGGAGCAGAGCGTGGGAAAGCCAGGGCACACAAATGACGAGCTCGGCTTCATTTTAACGACGCGAGGCCGTCATGTGTGAGGCGACATCGACGTGCGAACTGGTCGCGACGTGGGGGCGACGTGCTCTGTTAGCGACGTGCATCGTGGGATCGCAGGGAGTAGGTAGGATTTGAAATTAATTTTTTTTGGTTTTCTTTTACTTAACAGAGGTCAACAATCGGCAATTGAATGCCGGCAGTTTTGCCGCTCGGTTGGGAGGATGGCGACACGGCAAACAGCCGTTTGTAGTATGGCTGGAGACGGCCTAAGTGGAAGCCCCTCACAATCAAATCGTACAAGATAGGTCAAAGGGGAAGATTGATACTTGAAATTGACGTACGACGTCGCCCCAAAAAACGTGTGATCGCGAAACGAGCTTCGGCCATGTGTTCGGAGCGTCGTCAATACTTAAAAGTAACTATAAATTTATTCAACTGAAGTCGCACGAGTAGATCGGCATATATCTCGAGGAAACGACGTGTAAATCAAGAAATCTGACGTGTGACGTCATCCAAACGACATCCGATCATAAAATGGACTTCGACGTTACACTCGGAGCGTCAACAATACCTAAAATAAGCTGTAATTTCATCACATGAAAATCATGCGCACGAATTGATACGGTTTCCGAGGTGAAGGGGCACAAATTTTGAGAAAATGCATGAAAATCAAAAAGAATTCCTCTATTGACGATTTTTATATTTTACTAATAATAATAATAATCAAGCAAACAACAACATCAAGCCTTTGTCCCATTACGTGGGGTCGGTTACATGAATCCTTCTTCACCATTGCGTCCTGTTAAAAGTCAAATTCTTATTTAAATCTAATAAAGAAAGATTATTTCTAATATTTTCTAACCAAGTCTTTTTAGCTACCTCTACCTTTCTTAGCATGATTCAAATCCAATACCTCAACTTTCCTAACAGGGTCATCGGAAGGCCTCCGTTTAACGTGGCCAAACCATTTAAGGTTACTCTCTCTAATCTTATCTTCCACTGGAGCTACTTAAACCTTTTCCTGCACCAGAGCAAAGAACTGTTAATAGAAATCTCATTCCCAACTAGTTTGGAAACATTCAAGAAGACAGTCTTTGAACTTTCTCCATTAACAAATCCAATCTCGCAAACCTCTCTACTGGTACCAGGACAGAGCCTTCCCCTCCAGACATAGAGCAACTACGGTAAGTTTTTCATTATCTGTCAATCCATTTATAGCAAAATATCACACCACCTGTAAATCCACCCGTGAGCATCTTCTCTCTCAAAAATCAACATCTTCTCCCTCAAAAATCAGCATCTTCAACTTTCTTACCCTAGGATCACCACAGCCCCAATTGCTTCATCCTCCTCCGATGTAGCTGGTGTTGTGATCCCTCCATGTTTCTCTCTCCCACAAATTAGCTTTCCAATCTTCACCAGCCATACCCTTCACCGATTTCCCTCCTTAAAATGGCTCCAAAGGTTACATCTCCTCTTCTTCCCCAAAAATTTTCACCTATTGATCCTCCCTCATTGTCCCTATATTATAGTTTTCCCAACTTCATTGTCCGATCAACGATGCCCTTGCCTCCAATAATGCCATATTGGCTTGAAACTCAAACATCATTTTCATTATCACTTCCAGATTCAAAAATATGCCCTCCATTGTTGAAATTTGCTCTCTAAATTCAAATTTTAAATTTCTAAATTCTCCATCAAGCCTCTCTTCCAATGCATCAGCCTTCTTAGCCGCCATAGGATTCAAAAAAGGTGCTCCGATACCAATATGATAGGAATCTGAAATCCACACAACAACAAAAAAGCAATAACGCAGAGAAAATGCAACAGAAATCAGTGAGAAAGAATGAGATTATTGGATAATTTTATTGATATCAGCACAACAAACTAATATACAAGATAATCTACTATTCGAGATATAGATCAACTCTCCACAAACCCTAGGCGCCACTAGGAACAACTCCAAAGAAAATTGCTCCAAACCACAAAACCACCTCATGAAAATAAAATCACCTAATTAATCTTAAATAAACTTACCTAATTCCCTCCCAATTTTGATTTTCTATGGAAAGAAATTAAAGGTAAAACTAATCTCTTTTGAGGCCTTGCCTGCCGCCACACTTGTGGGGCTCACAGGACTCTTTTGCCCGCCAGCCAGACCGGCCCCCTTTACTGGGGCCGGGTTTATTGGCTGGACCGGCTTAGTTGGTCCATCAAATTATTACTTCTAAAAGTGATTGTACTAAATGTTTAGTTTGTGCACGTGTTCTCTACACATAGTTAATGAATGAATGGATCATGGTGCACCTGGTATCCCAAGCATAACAATTTCCAGGTTATTTAACCATGTGTGATCACTACAACAAAATTAAAGCAAGCTCAATGAACTAATGAACGTTGAGTATAGTGGTGGCCAGTGCACTGCATGACATGAGCCATGGACGTCTAAAACCATCTGGGTGCAAGCTAGGTAACAAGTGGATATATATATATGATATAACAAAGAAAGACATCCAGCGTTCTCGTCAAAAGAAATCTTATGAACATCAAAATAATATGAAACATATTGGCGGTGATGATGAAAAAAACCAAAGCATGGGAATTTTGAAATGAACTCACTAGATGAAGAATGTATACCGATCCTAATCCTCGATTTGGCAATGCAACATTTATAAAGTTGATCCATCCTTCAGTCTCAAAGTTTAGCGGACAAATATTAGGTCAAGTTTCGTAAATGCTACTAAATCACCATTAAGCCAACCAAGCTACCAATAATCCAGGCAAGAACAATGGCCACCCTTGAAGTGATGATAACGATTAACATCTCTTATTATGATCTCCCGATTCACAATCTGTGAAATGAACTTTATAGCAACGTGACAGTCCTCACAGACTCGAATGTTCTTCTTAACCATAAGCTTTGTCCCAGGTGGAGTACTGATCAGCCCAAATGCAATAGCCAACCTCTCACTATGGCTTCTAACCATGTTCCTCTTCTCATCATCACTCACATTATGGAACACAGGCATTGTATCTGGTACATAACCTGCCTGTTGCATGAGCCCCTCCAATATTTCTAGCTCCCCATATATCTCCTTGGATTGAGGATGAGAAAGATCCCCAACAAGAAAAGCATGGTCCTTGTTCTTGACTTCTATCCAGCTACAAGCTACAGTCTTCTTCAACCCTCTATCTGTCATCCTCTTTCTTATCTTAGCTGCTTCTTCCCAATTCCTAGTCTGGCAATAGATGTTCGATAGAATGACATAGTTTCCAGCATCATCAGGCTCCAACTCTATTAACTCCCTCAGTGCCTTCTCTCCTAATTCAATATCCCCATGAATCTTGCATCCATTCAATAAAGCACCCCAAACTCCAGAGTCTGGCTTCATGGGCATCTCCTTAATAAGTTGGTGAGCTTCTGCCAATCTTCCAGCATGACCAAGGAGATCAATCATGCAAGTGTAATGCTGCACTGTAGGCTTGATTGAGAAATCTTGCAGCATGGAATCAAAGAATCTTCGTCCTTCATGCAACAGGCCAGCACGACTACAAGCTGATAAAACTCCAACAAATGTAATGTTGTCAGGAAGCAGAATAGCTTCCTTTCTCAGCTTATCAAACAGCGCTAGAGCTTCATCAGCATGGCCATGCATGGCATAGCCCGAAATCATGGCATTCCAAGAAACAACTCTTTTTTCAACAAGTTGTTCGAATAGAACACGGGCAAGCTGAACAAAACCACTCTTCGCATACATATCGACAAGAGCGGTGTTTACCTTGTCTGCTGAGGAAAATCCCATCCTCCAACTAAACCCATGAATTTCTCTTCCTCTCAACAGAGCAGCTGCATCAGCTGAAGCTGAAATCACTGTCACAAGAGTTGCCACTGAAGGTTTGAAGCCTTCCAATGCCATTTTGCGGAACAGGGATAGAGCCTCTGAAGGATGTCCATTTTGTGAGTATGCAGCAATCATCGAGTTCCAAAGGACAACATCTCTGTTCAAGATTCTGTCAAACAACCTCCGGGCATCAACGACGGAACTGCACTTCGAATACATGTCAATAAGCCCAGCAGCCACAAAGACATCTAGCTCCCATCGCGTGAGCACTGCAAGCTTGTGGATTTCCCTACCATTATCAATGTCGGAGAGGGCTGAGCAGGCCTTGAGGACAAATGGGAAAGTGAAGTTATCAGGTAGGATCCCATGGTCCAGCATTTGGTAGTAGAGCGATACAGCGGATTCAAAAGGGCCGTTCCATGCGTAGCCACGAATAAGAATGTTCCACAAGAAGATGTTTCGTTTAGGAATTCTATCGAACAGGCTGTGGGCGTATGGGAGATGGTTGCAAACTGAGTAGAGATTGACAAGCTTCGTAGCAAGAACTGTGTCAAAGCCAAGGTTAGAAAGTAGTAGACGAGCGTGTAGCTGCTTCCCAGGTCCGATGGCCTTCCGCGAGACAAATGATTGGAGGAGAGAAAGGTAAGCGTGGTAATTGTTAAAGGATTCAGCATCAGAAAAGTTGTAATAATCTGAAAAAATGGGATTCGTGGTGGGAAGAGTGTGAAGGCGGCGAAGGAGTTGGTTCAAAGGCGGAAGCAAAGTTGTTGATATTCTTCTTCTTATTATCATCTCATTTGATATGAAGTTGACGGAGGTAAAAGGTACATTTGTTCATAACAGGATGGGCGAGCAGGCGGGATAGAAGCTCACATAAGACAGAGGAGGAGAACGATGGAAGAAAAGGAGCCAATCAGATAAGGGAAACAGCAGCGGGTGGAGAGCAGAAGCGAGAAGAAGTTCACGGCGTCGGCCACGGCGCATGGGAAGAAACGAAGAGGTGCCTTGATGACCATCAGCGAAGAGAACGGGGGATCGAGACAAAGAAATGGTGGCGCTGGCGCAGGATGAGGACGGCGGCCAAAGAGAAGGGGAAGGTTGGCGGTGAGCGTAATAGGGGAGGAGAGGGAAGAGGATTAGAAAAAGAAGGTTTTTGCGTTTGAATTAACGGTCCGAATGATTTTTTAGTCAGATTCCAACGATTAGGCTCCGAATGACTTGAATTCTTCTGCTTCTTTTCGCCTGTTTGGTCCTTTTCTCTCACTCTATGCTTCTTCATTCATTTTCTTTATTCTATGTCCTGTTTTTTTAAATTTCCTCACTTCACAAGTTCACCCGCACAACAGCGACACAAGGAAACTCGGTTATAAAGCCAAACACAACCTTTCCCATTCAAACCTCCCATTTGCTCATTTAAGAAACCTATTTGCTGATGTTAAGGGGGTTGAAAATTTAAAATAAACTTAGATTCAAATACAGTTTCAGCAAGCTCAAATTATCCTTGTCATAAATAGTTTACTCTGGATAATTTTCTTATTATTTTATTTTTCATATCTTTATCATATATCCATTTTATTAATGATTTTCAAAACTTTTTGAAACCTCCAGTTTAGTGTAGCGGTAACTTTTTATAAAGATGATTGTAAAACTATTATGACATAAAATTTCTTAAAAAAAGAAGTCAAATTGATACTATGATGGCAATCTGAAAAGCAAAAGGTAAAAAATTTATCCCAAATAAAAGCTTAATACGATAGCTATAAAAAAGGTTGTTTTCAGAATTCTTAAAAACATATATCTATAATACTCATAACAACTTTTAAAAAAATTGCTTTACAAAAAGCTATAGGAGGCTCATATAATCCCTAAAGTGAAGGTCTATGAAAAAGTAATGATTCAAATGCTAGAATAGTCATGCAGCCAAACGCCAATGCAGACTCATCAAAGAGAATATTAAGAAAGAATTCAGCCAACATTTTTTTACCCTTCCCTGTATCCATGATATCCATAACTTTGCCCTTCATGCTTCCAACATATTGGAGAGAAGCAGCTGCTGCTAGTCTTACAGCAATACAAAATTTTTTTATAATGTATTTATAACATGTACATTTTATATGTCAGAGAATCGTTTCAACAGCAAAGCTCACAATAAAGCCCAAAAAGGCACCAACAAGGACCTGAATCTCATTGTGCCCTACTGATTCATTCAACGGCTGATAAGCGCTGTAGGATTTCTTTGATGGTTCTTTGATATCAACTTCTAAACTAGGCAGTGTGTTCAATCTACTTGCTCTAGCTCCAGAGCTGCTGTTCAGTTGGTAAGGTTCTGATTTTCCAAGATAGGAATCTGGATTCTCTGAAACAGAAACAAGAGGTGTGACCTCTTTGGAGTTTATAGAGGATGCTCCAGATTTAGATTCCTGCTGTAGTTTGTTCAGAATCTTCGCTTGGTAGCCCACCTCTCTTCGAACTCCCTGAATTTCACAGATGGAATTTGAGAAAACAAGGCACCTTTTGCTTTGAAAGAACTAAAAGAGAGGAAATGAAAATGAAAAGAATATGGAATTGAGAGAAAATATACTTATTCTTTATTGTTTGTTTGATGGGAAATTGAGTTTATATTTCGTATGAGAAGTGTCCATGTGAGTCACAATGATGACTGTGATAGGAACCACTTGTAGATCTCAAGTAACTCCTATCAATTTTAGAAAAATGAACGAGAAAAATCTTCCACACTCTAAAAGAAAACAAAAAAAACAATAATTTTATTGCAATAATCAAATAGAACGGAAGAAATAATAAGATACAAGTGATCCTCTATTCTAGAGGAGGATCGATCTCTTCCAATCTCTAGACGAATCTAGAGCCCAAAACCTAAACCTAAGAGATCCCAAAATCAGCCAAATTCCATATCCCCTAACCCTAAGAAAACAAACTATTTAATGCATACAATTCAAAAGAAAATATCTAAACAACCCCTACATTCAATTTCCCTCCTAAACTTTCTCAAAAATCTTTCCTAAATCAGCCCGGTGGAGGTTTGCGGTCCGCTCGGTCTCTGCGGGAGAGGTGGAACCTCCGCCTCTATTCACCTGGGCCGGTCCCGTGTGGATCGGCTGGACCGGTCCAATGAACCGGTCTAACAATACTCGCCTCCCAAAGATCCACCTTGTCCTCAAGGTGAAAATATGCTCATGTTCCCGTGAAGGTGGTCATCCTTGAGGTGGCTGAAAAACCTTACCGAATTGTTGAATCAAGGGCTGTACCGAAAGAGAAAAATCCCCTCCCTCCTCCAATCTGTATAATCCCACCAGATAATCTTCCCCCACCTCTTGTATGTCCATAACCATGGTCTTAAGTGATACTATGGCTTTGGATAGCCCTGCATCTCCCCTTATAACCACCTTTCTCCTATTCACCATTAATTTCATTGTCAGTGCTTCCCAATTGTCCTTGGTTTTCCCAAAAGTTTGCAACCACTTCATCCCCAGGATGACATCAGTACTTCCTAACTCTAGTGGGAGAAAATTCTCCCTTACCTAAATCCCCTAGATGGTCAACACCACTCCTCTACAGATCTCCTGATCTTTCTCCACCTTCCTTACACCCATCATCACCCCATAATAACTGGTGTCCACCAATTTCACTCCCAGTTGGTTGACGACTGTGGGCTCCGAAAATTCGGCCCTGGCCTCCGCCTGCTTTTCTTTTTATTCGACGAGGGAGTTTTAACTGATAAGTTCCGAGGTAAATTTTGGAAGGCAGATGGGTTTGTAAATAAGACACTACCCAGAGATTTCGCCCTCATTTTGTGAGGACTTTATGATCTGAGTTCTGGTTTCCTATAGGCGCAAACCCCTATAGTTATGAATGTATTAAGACAAATATGACGGTCGCCACAACCGTATATTTGTTTGTTGGTTCGAACCCTGTCGACTTCTATTGACCCGCATAGAATGATCGGTTTCGAACTAGAATTCACTTGTCATCCCGCGCAGCATCCCTAGACATCACGTGTATACCAATAACACGCTCGTCGGGGCCCATGCGGGTGTTTGGAGGCATTTTATAATTAAACCCTGTCGACTCCGTTTAACCTGTTAAGGAGGATCGGTTTTAAATTTAATAACCCGTGCAACATCCCTAAACGTCACGTGTGTACCAATAACACGCTCGTCGGGGCCCTTGCGGGTTGAGATTGTATTTTCCCCTTTAGTGTACCTATGTGTATACAATTTATAGTGCACGTGCAGGGATATTTTAAAATATTTGTAGACGCCTTCTGTCTGCTTGTATGGAGGTTGCAAATCCGGTGGCGTCATAGTAGCTTCTGAATAGAATTGTCCGCTCCTTCGTACAGTTAGACTGTCGTGCACTACTTGTTGCCTTCTGCAGGTGGATCGTAGTGCACTAACGAGTCTCCTGCCTTGGATCGTATGAGCTTGCACTTGTTGTATTCTTCATGCGTTTTGTTGTGATTTTTTTGGTCTTTTTAGTGCATCTGCTACTGCTGCATGTAGGTAGGTAGATGTCTTCCTTCACAGACTAGGATTTACTTCAGGATACGACATTTACTGAAGTCTTTCTATATCTATCCACGGGTGGCATGTTATACATACATCTGTATTCGTAGAGAGATTGTACGTATTGCAGATCTTTTGGAATTGAATTGTTGCTGATCATACGAACTTCCACATTCTACTCCATGACTTGTGCGAAATCTTCTTCTATTGTTTTTCTTGTAAGGTTGAATATGGTTGACTGTATGAGTGTTACAACATCCACTATTATGCTTATTGTAACCTCTCAATATTTATAGAAAACTACTGCATCTATCCACAAATTAGCTTGTCATGGATCAGAGGGGCATCACCATACTCATTGTATGTTCTTTATCATCGCTACAACCTTCCTTGCTATGTATAGGTTAAGTGTTGCATATATGACGGCTCTCTTTTTTGTAGTGATTCGTAGGTACTTATATGTATTGTAGATCACTTGTTGTATGTCGTTATTCGCATATTGATTGGCATGATCACCGTGTTCATCAAGAGCCTACATTGTTGCTTATGAACCAGTTCCAATTGCAATTTAAGGAAAATTTATCATTTGCTTGAGATTCACCCCTTGTCTAACACAAAGGCTTTCAACAATCATCGTCCCTTTTGACATCTACATCCCCTTTGGTATGAAAGTTTTGAATATCTGTAGGAAGCTTCACTTTGTTGATCACAGGCATGTTATCATACTCTCCATTTGATCATTGCAAGCGTACCAATTTGATTCAAGAGTTTAAGTCACTTTGGTTTATTATCCTTTACTTGCAATCAACACCTCCATCACTAGCTTCAATTGAAGAACTATTACAATATCTTGTACATCATTCTTATTTGTTTGTAATTGATAGTTAATGAGATGTAGGGATTTTCCCTGACCTCACCAAGAGTTTGTATGTGTGAGATTTGGAACATTGTTCTCCACCAATCATTGTAGTTCATTTCAATTAGATTAGAGTATTTCATGAATCATATTGGAGAAATAAAAGTTCAAGTCTTTATAGACTCCGGTCCACATTCAAGTTCACCTTTGCTTTTTCAAGTGTGAGTTCCTTTGATGTATAGATCAAGTTCAAATATGAGTCCAAGTGTTCAAGTTATAACTGCTTGAGTATGAATTAAGCTTCTTGCACATTTTTTTATTTGAGTTCAATTGTTTTATCAAGTCATTTAGACTTTGTTCGAAAGTCCAAGTACAAGTCCTTCGTAGTTCTTTTGAGTTCAATCAAGTCCAGGTCCCAAATTGTTCCAAGTCCTTGTCTGTATTTCAGACAAAAATTCGGCAGCCTCCCGGCGTCTCCCCCGTTTAGAGGAAAAACCAAGAGGCCGCCTACCCACCACGCCACCAAAGGCATGCACGGTTGATGTTTGTGAGACACCACGGCGGTTGTATTTATTTTTTTTT